CCCAGAGATGTCTGCTCGGATATAGACACGTGCTCGGGGAAAGCGAGCTCTGTCCGAACGACGATAGCTGGAGAGCCGAGACTTGCATAATTTTATAGAGTAACGTCCCATCTATCTACGCATGCAACAAAATTACTAACATTGTATGTTAGTTTTCTGAGAACGGAGCTGGTTTTCCAAAGATCCTCTGAAAACCCGATCTCTGAAATTTTTTCAAAAGTTGCGTCTGCTTGTGAAAGGTTCTGCTCAAGTCTTGGCTATTGAACAGGGAAAATCGCAGGTCTCTGTCTCATTCCTATCAAAAGTTATTCAAAAAATGCCCACGGGTCTTGTATTTTGGGATGGATAGTAGAAGTATGAGGTTAATACTAATTAGTAATAATATGATGAATATGCCTTTTCAAGGTACAGATTCATCCAGGTAGTATTAATATTCTCAGGTTAATTAGTATTAACTTCATAGTCTTATTTCTAATATGACAGTAATTAGAGGTTTTATGAAAAAATTTACAGAATGAACCTTGAACATATTTAAAGAGATTATTTAATATTTAGTTCGAGTTCTGTTAGTATTACGTTTTACAAAGCAAATATTAGGGATTTTTCGTATTTAGGGTTGGGTAACTATAGAATATGATATGTATGGCTTTATCTATGTCTTTAAGTGAATTTTTAAGTATAATCATTCGTTTTTTAACTTCAGCTATTCGTGGAGCTACTAATAATATAAGTTATACTCATGTAGTTTTATTAATATTTGGCAATTTTTCAATCTAAATACATAAGCTTACTAAGCTTCAAAATACGTCTCTTTTAATCAAAGAAACTAACAAAATTAAAAAAGAAAACCCAATTAATAACATGAAAACTACAGACGAATTGTAAAAGTTTAGATTCACCGAAAAACATTTTAACTCAAACACTGACATGAAAATCTTGAACCTTGTGCTACCATCGAATTGAATTTTCTGTTTAATTTAAAACCAGTTCGTGAGTTTTAGCGCTCAAGATAGCAGAGCAATCTTGTAAATCGCGACAGAGGTAATTCAAAAAAACAATTTGAGATAACTCTCTCATTTTATTTTTCTCTCATAAAGTTGAGCGAGTCATGTTTCGATATTCTTTTGGATCACTTTTCGTGTCACAGTTATAATCAAGATGGACGTGTCGATCATCAACTTTGTTATACTACTGTGTTGCACACATAATTTATTTTACTACCTTTTCTGTTTCCCAAACTAATACCAACAGTAGAAGTGCATTCTGTAGTAAGAGCTTAAACTTATTCTGTAACAAAAGTTCTTACGCAAAGTGAAAGAGGATATGAGAAAGCTAAAACGAACAAAACTAATAAGGTTGATCATGTCTAAAGAATCAGTTTTGTCAAAATCCATTTTTTTAACAAATTTATCAGAAAGATCAGCAACCGAAAACTTTCACGTAACTTTAATGACATGGTTTCTTCTTCCAAACAGTACTTGAACCAAGAAGATTGGTTTCGTCGTTCTGAGCAAAAATATGCAGGAACATTCGAAAACGTCACCTTATCATGAGTCGTTCGGACATCAAAGCGTAGTTTTCAGTTGTGTAATTCTCACAACATGATCTGAAAGTGATATTAAAGTTTAAAGTTTAAAGTTTTCTTCGAAAACATTGATTGAATAATGATATATGTTTAAAATATAATTCTTGTTGACGAAAAGTCTAGGTAACAATGATGAAGTGTTTTTCTTGTCCTTGATGCAACAGTAAAAGAAGTGGTTGTCAAGATGGAAACAAGAAAAACAAAAAGAAGAAATTGTATAAATATCTCTATTGAATAATGTAAAATTATTTTGTCTATGGAATTAAATTAGATTTTACAAGGTAAGAAGGACGTACAGGCACTTTAAGGAAAGTGGAAATTAAAGAAATCCTGTACACAACAACAGAACTGAATAAGAGGAGGGAGATGATCATGTTGATAGTGGAATAGAACTTAAAGCGGAAAAGAGAAAGCTTAAAGACTATTGTTTGTTCACAAATAGTATAAAATATGCAAGTTCCAGTTAGCAAAACGGAACTCTGTCGAACAGCAAATGTCTAAGTCTCATGTGTCAAGATAAAACTAGTTGAAATTCTATCTGACCGGAATTTCTCTGCTAACCAATACTAGTAATTAAAACTGCACGACAATTTTTTGCACCCCACAAGAATTTCTCTCTTAACTAGCAGGAATTACTGTCTTTCCAAATCAATGTTTAATGAACCATCTTTTGTTAACTGTGCAATTTATGATCCATTGTGGACAGAGCTGTATCGAAGTGTAGCCATCTACAAAATCTGTTTTCGTGAATTAATTAGGCAAGAAAAGCTGTTCAGTATCATAAGTGACTTCCAGATACACACAAACAAATTCTAACAAAAATGCTGAGAAAAGCCTGTTATGATATAGTCCACAGTGCGAGAAGCGACGCGGTATGAAAACAAAGCAAAACTATACTGAGAAATAGCTATATATGTAGTTTTTCGTTTTTTGTGACTCTGATCTTGTCCTGACTTTTTTTTGTAAGCAACGTCTCACTTGAAAGAACGAAAAGGTTCAATAAAATTAGCTATTTTTAACCGCCACTACGAGTTTTTTGTTGAGTCTAAAATACCAGCTAAAAGTTTTTTCAGTTTTCTTCCATTGTCTTTATAGTATTTACGGCATTCGTCTATCATTTCAAATCTGGCATCATTCTTATGATCCATAGGCAATATGGATACTCAGTGATACAGTTTTATTTGCATGTGTTAATATTCAAGAATAAAATAAACTTTGAAAAAGCATTTTGGTCACAGAGTGTGACCTTTGTTCTTATGATCCAATAGGCTTTTTTCGATCCGGTTGGACAGAGTTCACGTGCCTTGTAGTTTTAACCGAAAATAGAAAACCCTTTTCAGTTTTTTGTAGACTCTAGAAGACTAGTTAAAAAACTGAAAAGGATTTTTTATTTTTGATAAAAAGCGCCTGTTTTTGATTTTGCATCTGTCAGGAACGCTTTTTAGTTTTTTCTTATTCAAAATGATTATAAGCGTCTGATTTTTACCACTACTCATAGTGGAGTGTATTTCTTAGTAACTACAGCAGAGAACGTGTCATTCACTGTGTTTAAAGCTATTAGCAGATGGAAAGATCAGCATCGGCGTCGTGGAAGTCACGAGTTTTTATCAAACTTGCGCGGTGCTGGCATAAAATATGCTTGAGTTTCTACGAAAAATATGAATGTTAGCGTAAAAATTTGAACCGACTGATGGTTGCGTCGAAACACCAGATAGGCTATCAGCTGCCATCATATAGTTATACTCTTACTTCACAAATCCACTATCGAAAACCTTATTATGCTGGGAGGACGAGATGAACGTGAAAACGCCGAGGTTGCAACAAGTTTTTATAGCATTTTTTGCTGACCACACGTCTATATGCCTATCGAAAATTGTCTAATACGCGATTTAGAAAATTATGGATAGAAGCAGGTATACATTAATCTGATATGATTGATATCTATCAAAAATTTGAACTGGCCGATGGCTGCAACCACACATCGGAAAAGCTATCAGCTGCCATCGTAGCTGTACTCTTGCTTCACAAACTCAACCTCGAAAGCTTTTTCGTGTCAGGAGACCAAGGTAAACCGAGGAAAAGAGCGACAGAGTTGAAATCGATCCAGCAGAAGTATGTAGACTGTTATGGAGTCTGATCACCTCCTCACGAAACTTCATGGCTTACTGGTTTTGCACCAGTTGAACGCTTTAATACAAAATTAATCACTTTGATCGTTAGTCACAAAATATGAGACTAAGATTTAAATGTAAGTAGCTTTTAACGTATCACGTCTTATATTCGCATTTAACACTAAATTCGGAATAGATGCAAGTCCGTTTTTCATTGTAACGGAATTCTTTAAATTTCAATGAATGGGTAAACAAGGATTTATTATGTATCTCTTGTATCATCTCACACAGTTGAGGATGTAAAATTTGTTATTGTGCTTTTTCTCTCTGCTTCCAATAGTCGTCTGACAAAAAGACTGAAAATCATGTAGTGTCTTTCAGGTTGCCAAAAAGTCGCAACCTGCAGGGCTCTGCTTTAGTCAGAGATAATATTTGGTAAGATGGACAATTCTTGGACAATAAAGCGCATTTTAATCTTTGTACAAAGAACTTTAACGAAGTACCGATCTTAGTTGCTCATTGCCAAGATCATAATTTGCATCCATTCTGCTACTTTGAGAGTTAACTTTTTTCTCTCTAAAATGATCCAAGGACATGTACATATGATAATGAAAAAGTATTGGCTCCAACATACTCTTTTTCCTTCTTCTTTGCTGTAGCTGTGATCGACTTGATTTTTTTGATAAAATAGGCGCTTCTGCGACCGGATTTGTTACCTTTTTTGCTCCACTTCTCTTCTACTTTAACATCTTTCTTTCATCGTTTACGTCTTCTGGCACTTTGTGTAACACTGTACTCAGCAGCTGTTAAGCGAGATTGTGTACTATGGTATAACTTAAGAACTAGCTGTGCTGGCCGAAGACGACTTGTATCTCGCAAAATACATTCTTTTACTATACCAAAATAAGATTCAACAATTGCATTTGATAATTGGCCAGGGCTAATTTTGCTGACGCACGAGGGTATTGATTTGTCTGATGAATATCTATAATATAAGAAGGGCGAGGTTCAGATCCCAGAAATAAGTGAATACGTACATAAGTGAATAGAAATTTAGAGCAAAAAATACCTGATGATTTAAGAGATTCTTTAGCCCTAGAGAAAATGCTCACTTATTAAAGTAGAGGGGGCTATTAAATAGCAGAACAGTATGTGTAGGATAAGTGAAATAATAGTATACGTGCCTCTCGTCGAAGTCTAACATCAAACTAGACCATAACGGCAAACAGGCAAACCATTTGTACATAGTTCGAACTACACTTCTTGAGAAAAGCGGATTTGTGATAGTATTATATTTCGTGCTGCTATCTAACAATATATGGATCATCGAAAATCCGTATCACAGCATTCAGTAGTTGCATAGCTTGATCGAGTGTCATGGACAATAAAATAAATGCGAAGAGGTGCATGATCTGTTTTCTTGTGTCCTTTTTAACTTCTGCTGCTTTTAAACTACGTGAGAATGCTTTCATAACATGAGCGCAACAAAATCGTATATATGTTACGGCAAATAGTTCCTCTGATGAATAGGTCTTTAGCAAAACATTCCAACATCGTTTTAAATGTAGATTGATTCCTTCGTTGTTGAATGTTTGCAATAGTGCATTCAAGATAGCTGGCGAAAAATCAATAACAATAAACGATGGACGAATAAATTTGTCCGCAATTGTAACAATACTCTTTCTAACGATGTTAAGAAAATAGGCGATAGACGGTACACTGTGGTCACATAAAATAGCCGACGCGAGAGGTATAATTTGAGATAGATCGTCAACATCTTTAAAAACAATACAATACAATAAAGAACGTTTTTGACCGGTGAACTTTCGAACAAGGGAACCAGTGGCATCCATATGTATATGAGAATATTTTTGTGACTGAATGAACGAAATATAACGAGTAATTTGAGATTCCGTAAAAAAATGGAGGGTAAATGGTTGTCCGCCAGTCGTTTGGACATAACCTAAACACACATAGTAAAAATCTCTTTTAAAATAAATTAAGTGAACGTGTTTAGGATCTATTTCGTTGAGGGTAGCAATGTATTATGAGCAAAACCAAACAACATTGAATAAAATTGTCTTAACAAATCCACAGAGGAGTCAAAGAGTCGTAGAACAGCAAACGGTTGGAAGTTGATACACAACTGATCTTACAGTTAAGCTGCTCATACCACTAGTATAAAGCTAGTAAGCCTGATCAATTACCTGTAATTATAGCTGACTTTGTATCCGTTTCTCGAAAAAAATGAGTCACGACACGCATTTCTTTGAACGTATCTTTATCCATCATAAACTGCATTCTGTAGTGAGCAGCAGCTTGTTTAATGACGTCGACCGTTGGACAGGCAGTAAAATTTTCACCTTTCAAAAGAGCACAAGAATGAATCTGCGGAACTTTTATTCCTGAATAGCACAGAGATAAAGGATCTTTGGAAAACTTTGTAGTCTTTCTCTTGAGATGAAGGTCATCAGAGGACACGACTGGATGCGTCTCGATGTGCTCTATCGAACAATGTTCAGTTCAGCTTTGGACCAAGTCCTAGAATGAATCTGCAGAACTTTTTACATAAAAAAATAACATAAAAAAAGATTCTGCAATAAAAGACGAAAGACTATGACGCTTTTGTTTATTTTTGCAGGGAAAAATATAGCGCAAGAAAACGCATTTAAGAATCATGAATTCTCGGGTGTTGCGTTAGTGTGCCCAAAAAACGCACATTTCTGCAAAAGTCGTAAAAAAAAATAAGCATTGGTGATGTAGCTCAAACGTTCTACTTTCAGAATATAGGATTAATAGCTGATCAATTTGAAAAATTAACCGAAATCTTTGAGCTGTGTGTGACTTAACCTAAGCTGTAACTTACAAGAAAAATGTCACGATTTTCGATTACTGCCAAAGAAACAACGCGAAGGTGTTCAGCGTAATGTGACAGCCATTCTACGCGAATCGATGAAGCTTGACTCGTTACGCCGTCGTCTGTACGGTTAGGCATGCACCGAGACGAGAAGTCTCGGTGCTGTTATCGCGATTCTCGAAGGTCTCGAGTCTCACGAACTGGATTAAAGCTGAATGCGCTGAAGCTAACTCCGTAAGGTCTGACTTTTCAGAAAAGAACATAAGGCATCTGTTGCCCCAAGTTCCTAGGTATGCCGACTTCTCTCCCCGAGAAAGCAAGGGACAAAACGGATCAATTTGTTTTTTTTTCTTACAAGAAATAGTGTTTTTGAATTGAAGAAAAGAAGATGCCATTTAATAGAAAATCGTTGAATCTGCAGAAAATTGTTAACTTTTCAGAAAGTGGGTCGATATTATGGAAAATCAGGCAATAGCTTTTAGAAACTTTTATAAAAAATTCTTAAAGATATTATCCTCTCTACAAAATCGATATTTCAGGAAAGCGAATGCATTTACTATACAATATCAAACCTGGATTTTTTACTTACTGTAAAATGTTCAACAATTCTATACTAGTCCGAATAATTACGACGATAGTGATATGCTCTTTCATTTCATTTTAACTAAATTATTCTGGGAAAATTAAAATAAGTAACGCTTAGTTGGCTAACTATATACGCTACATAAAGTCTTCACTTTTAGTGATTAAAACTATCAAAAAAGTTACTATACAAAACATCTACTCCAAAAAAATCTTTTTTGACATTACGTCCATTACATATTCACCAGAGAAATCTTCTATACAGAACAAAAAACATAGTCTCGAGACGCTCGAGGCTCAAAAAGTTTCAGAAAGTTTCGATACCGGCACTTTTATATTGAGACTTTCGAGACTCGAGACTACTCAAGATTAAAGTTTGGGCTCCGTCTCAGTGCATCCCTATGTACGGTCGTTACAAATTGATTATTGATGAATCGGAAGGTGAAAGTAAAAACACTATTATTTTAAACTTCAAGTCGAAGTATTGAAGTTCGAATATTTTCGAAGTCTACAGGAGCGGATCGAAAATTCAGTAAATTGCCCATAACATGAGGAGACAGGCCTACAGCCACGAATACTCTTGAGGTTTTTCTAGTCTCAATGGGTCCTATTGAACAAGAAAAGTCTTATTCCAAAAATGAATTAGTACATATAGGAACATTTCATCGTTACTTTATTGTGAGAAATTCGATGTATCCGATCAAAAAAATTACTAAGATTCACTGTCGGTTATGAACATGAAGAGACCGATCTAATGTATATTGATTATTATCTATTTTTGGAATGCATTCATATTTATCATCTCGCTTGTCTTTAGGACAGACAAAGCTTTTTCTTAGTGTAAAAACAAACTTCTAGCATCTATCCGTAATCAACTCGAACAGACTTATCTTTCATTCTGTTCGGATATAATAGATGAAAGTCCTTCTGACCAAATAATCTCACGACTTACCAGATTTAGAATATCAGTCATTTGACTGATATTCGCATGATCACCATTGTCCTGATTATCGAACAATTGATATTTTGATAGTTTATTCAGACCGACAATGTACGACGATGTTCGTGTAGAAACATTGTCTAAATTATCAACGGTCCAAAACGACGATGTTCACGTAAGGTCCCGGAAATTCAAAAGGTTAGTGATAAAATGAATCTGGTCGAATTATACATGGTTGGATAGAGTACGTCGAGCTGATCAAGAATATCACCTTTAAAGATTTTTGACGTCAACTGTACAGCAGAAAACTTGTAAAAACAGAAAAACGCGAAAAACCGACTGTTTCTGAGAAACCGCATGGTTTCCCCACTTTGCTGACCTCGAACAATTTTCTGCTTATTTTATTTGGATTCAGCATCAAATGCTGAGTAGATCAGAGTGACTTTGAAAAAATTTCAAATCATCCCTACCACTGACGGCGGACCTCAGACTCCGATTGACACCTCAATCTGGCAAATGTATCTCCTCCCTGGTTTCAACAGTAAACCCATACTATTATATACCATTCGGGCTACAAAGTTACGCTCGCCTTTTTTCAAAAATTTGTTTCATTCCTGAGAAAGTACATTTTTTCTGAATCAGAAGCGAAAAAAGTGGAATTCTGCCCGTAATTCTCTACTTTCTCCATCAGAACTCATTTTGTATGCAATAAAAATATCATATTCGGAGTTAGCATCGAAAACCGAATCGAATGATATGTGTTTCGAAGTTTTTCGTTGATTTTCATGTTTTGGTGAAAATGTCACTAATTCTTCCGCGTGAAAATTCGAAAAGAACAAAGGTGGTCAGATAGGGTTAAAAAGTATATCATTCGACTCAGTTTTCGATGCTAGCTCCGAATATGATATTTTTATTGCATACAGAATGAGTTCTGATGGAGAAAGTAGAGAATTACGGGCAGAATTCCACCAGGGAGGAGATACATTTGCCAGATTGAGGTGTCAATCGGAGTCTGAGGTCCGCCGTCAGTGGTAGGGATGATTTGAAATTTTTTCAAAGTCACTCTGATCTACTCAGCATTTGATGCTGAACCAAATAAAATAAGCAGAAAATTGTTCGAGGTCAGCAAAGTGGGGAAACCATGCGGTTTCTCAGAAACAGTCGGTTTTTCGCGTTTTTCTGTTTTTACAAGTTTTCTGCTGTACAGTTGACGTCAAAAATCTTTAAAGGTGATATTCTTGATCAGCTCGACGTACTCTATCCAACCATGTATAATTCGACCAGATTCATTTTATCACTAACCTTTTGAATTTCCGGCACCTTACATATCATCCCTTTTGTTGTGTTAAAAATATTGGTCTCTTGCGGTGGTTCGTTGGTTGTTATGTTCAACGATTCACTGTCCAAATGGTTTCGATTCCATGCTGAATCTAATCGATTATTCAGCGGTCACTCTCGATGATGATAACAATGGGGAGTCTCCTTCGCCGACTCAAGGAATATTTCAACTCATTACACATTACTCGTGTATCCCACAAACACCACTTTATCACTGGTTTGATCAACGAATAAAATTACATGCCGATGAAACCAAGCTAGCGTTCATCCAAAAGGAAACTGAAAGCTCAGGTTTACAATTACTCTTTTCGCCTATTTTTTATTACAGATCTAAATAGCATCAGAACCAACAGCCATACTTTTACGCCGGAAACGACTATTACTTTCAAGAGTATGAGAGGAGGATAATTTTGTGAAATAGGATTTATTGGAAAGTGAGAGTGACCTTTGCAATGATCAGTAATTCGCTGAAGAAATTATGACCGGCGGATGAGAATGGATAAGTTACTTTAGAAAAGTATCGTGGTCACTTTCGGAGTATTGTCTTTAGTGTCCAAGACTATTCTCTTCAAGAGGGAAAAAGGTGAATGGTGATTACTTTGATTCTAATCAGCAATGATTATGGAGAGGGTTAACAGCTGATTTGACTACCAAAAACAAGCTTTTAAGATTCAAAAGTTTTAAGGCGGTTCAAGTGCTACTCCTTGGTTCACCTGTATATTAATTGTTGCTTTATTTATTTATGTGGCAATCATGGTCCAACGGACGAAATTGTTAAAGCTGCGGAAGTAGTATGAAGTGTCTGTAGGGGTACTGTCAAAACGTTTTCAATTACTGGGTCCCCTTCTTGTTTCGGTACCTGGATCCTGGATGTCACAAGTCTTCTTTTTCTTTGTGGAACGGACAGGAGAGTCGTTTTCTATTTTTTCTTCTTTATATTATTGGTGAATGAATTTTTAATGCATACAATATCTTGTCACTTCTTATGATATCTTATTAATCCTCTAATATAGAATTGGAATCAGATCCTTTTAAAGAAACATTGATCTATAGAAAGAGGCTAGCTTTACAGTTCAAAATCTGTGCTTATTTCGTTTAAGATATATATACCATCATTGTATATTTTTATTTACAATCAAAAAAAATGATTGGTCATTTAGTTGAGCCTGCAAGTTATTCATCGTCAACGGTAATAGCAGCCGCATCCTGTTTAAGAAAAACATCAACAATATGTTCACGTTGTATGACTTCACCATTATCTGTTATTAGAAATAATCAAAAATTATCTAATGCAAGTACATTGCTTTCTTATTATCAATCAAAATGACAAATGTGCGTTGTAGTATAGAAATGGAAAGAAGGAGAAAACAAATTTTGTGTTCGTTTCAACAACGACTATTTCAAAACCTGAATAATTACACTTATGATCCATCTGAAAACAATGATCCGGAATTCATAATTAAAGACGGATGGTTAAAAGACTATATTTTACAAATTCGTCAGGAATGGCTCAACCTAGATCGACACAGCTATCAAAATCTGTGTGATCACCATTATGACAATCATTGAACGATTTATTTTTGGTCAATTATTGTACATCTGGGCACAGGTCCACGAAAAATTAAACATGTACAGTTGTACTGTAGCGTTATTGTTATAATAAGCAGTATGTACGCCTTTTATTCCCTTTACTCCCTTTACTCCTTTTAGTCCTTTTACTCCGTTTAGTCGCTTTACAGCCTTTAGTCCTTGAGGGTGAGGGTGAGGCTGTAAAGGGAGTAAAAGGACCAAAAGGAGTAAAGGGAGTAAAAGACTGTAAAGCGACTAAACGGAGTAAAATGACTACAAAGAGTAAAGGCTGTAAAGTGACTAAAAGGCTGTAAAGGGAATAAAAGGAGTAAAAGGCTGTAAAGCGACTAAAAGGAGTAAAGGGGTACATACTGCTTATTATAACAATAACGCTAAAGTACAACCGTACATGTTTAATTTCTCGCGGACCCCTCCATCTGGGCCGCTTGAAATGGAATATCAAAAAACCAAATGAAATTCTTTTCAGACTAGGGTACAATTTCCCCAGAACCCCACCAAACATTGATTCGGTCATGTGCGTTCGAAACCAAACGGTTTTGACGTTACAAAGAGCTACTCGAACGAACAATATTTTGATAGCTTTATTAAACAAGTGAACGAGTGGTTTGACCGATTCTTTGACATTTTTCAGTCGATGGTCGAGTGGCTTAAGAAGTATCATGTGGAAGGATCTACACAGTTATCAATTGATATACATAACATGAGAAGCAAATCGACAAAAACAATAGTTGAAATGAAAAACACAATCGAGCAAGCATTGAGCATTCTCACACCGTTTAAAAATCTTCGACGTCTTTATCGTCTAGTCAGTTGTTCAACACCGTTTCGAATTACCGATGATGGTAGAACCAACGATACAAAGCGTTCAACGAAGTACATTCAAGAACCACAACGTTTACAGCAGAATAACACATTCACGGTCGACGGTAAAAGTCATTATGTGAAACATTGTCGGATCAATAACCGTCAAAATGTTCATTGGTCTATTGCTAACGAGAACTTTTAGTGTAATGTCGAAATTAGGTACCGAACAATAAGATTGTCTGATCACGCTGAATTATTGTTTGCCGGAAAAAATATTCCCATCGATAAGCTGTTCTTACATGGTGAATTCGAAACATAGCGTGCCGGTCAGTTAACGATCGACATTCATAATCAACAAGGACACGTTCGACGTGCCATGATCTCGAATGAAACAACCCGATTTACTAACGTGTCATCTATTTCATGATATAATCGATCTATTTTATACACGATACGTTCCCCAAAGTGCGACAATGGAAGAACGCCACTTTAGTGAACTACTCGATCAAGCAGTATTAATGTCCGAGATGAAGTCAAGAAATTGTTGGATACTGCGAATTTCGCCGTCGTACACTTCGGCAGTGGACTTTCGGCAATTGCCGAAACACACACTCAGTCACACTCACACATCCTCATCCACACAACTTTCGGCAATTGCCGAAAGTCCACGATGAAAGTCACTACGGCGAATTTCCTGTTTCCCAAATTGTTCACCAATCGATCGACAGTCAAGGCTACTGCAACTCAACAACAATCAACGGCAGCACCCGCAGATCAGGAAATAGAACAAGTCTGTAAATGGTTGCAAATCTATCAATATTATCATCCACTGTATTGAACAATTTGGTATCATTTCGACTAATAACGAAAATGACATGATCGGACATCTCAAACAACTGAGCAGCAATGAAAGGTGTTCCTAAAAGAAATCACAAAAGCCTACAAAATTCTACAACAGCAATTTCAAGACATAATAAGTCAACATTTACAATTAATCAAAGCAGCAATCGGATGTTCGACTGTTGTTCAAATAATGAAAACATCCGATCTGTATTCATCTCGCCGCTTCCAAGAACTACGAGAAAATTTGACAACAGTTTCAATTACAAGAACTAAACAATATAATTCTAAACTCGTTCATCATCACCCACGCATTATGCGAGCTACTTGTTCTCAATGCAGAAAATTTTGAAGAATTTGCTTGCCTATCGTCTTGCTAATTTACCGAAATTTGAAGAAACTTCATTGAAGCATATGAAAGGTAAAAACACCCGCCGATTATCTACTCCTTACTGTATAAGCGTAGCATATGGAAAAGAAAACAAAATGACGCGCTGTTTTAAATATGCCGTCAACATAAAATCCTATTTAATAATATTGTATCAGCTGTAAAAGCAAAAGGTGAATACCATAATGCATTAGAGCACAGTACGCAATCAAGTGGATATTACATGGAAAATTGATAGTGGTATGAAACATTTGAAAAGACGAAGAATGAAACAAAATTTATTTTAACCAAAACTTTTGCATACAAACTCTTTCACGTCCATCAACGAAAACTGGCAAGACTTCCATCGATAATGCAGGTGATGACGGTGTCGGTAAAATGCTTCTTCACAAATTATATTAGTTTTCACCGAATGCAAATATAATTCATGGTGAAATTCAAGGCAATTGCCCACTGTGCTCTAATGTATTACAGTATTCACCTTTTGCTTTTACAGCGACGTAGTGTTATTATATGTAGTTGCTAATGATCGATGATTTAATCACAACGACTTAAAATTACTTTCACGTGTCTTTTCATAATACTCTAATGCATTATTGTATTCACCTTTCTCAAATCCAATATTATTATATGTAATTGCTAAAGATGGATGTCTTGATGGTAATGACTATAAATTAGTTCAAGTGTCTTTTCATAATACTCAAAAGCTTTAGCGTATTCACCTTTCTTATTTCGATGTGCTAGTCGATTGTTGTCAATTAGTGCCGTGAAATATTGTTGAGCGTAATCTCATTTTCCCATGTGTATCGTAAGTATACCTATAGCGTTTAGCTTAAAGATTTCGCCGAGTTCCGTTCCAAAGTGTTCTCATAATTGATTCAACTGTTCATCTTATTCTCTAATCATTGTCAAGCTTACCTTCGAGACTGGGTTGCTCCACTTATTAACTGATTCCTTTCTAGTGCCTTTTCATAATATTCTAATGCTTTATTGTATTCACCTTTCTCATCGTAAACTAATCCAGTATTATTATACGTAGTTGCTAACAATGGATGATCTGATGGTAATGACTTCAAGCTAATATCCAGTGTCTTTTCATAGTGCTCTAATGCTTTATCGTATTCACCTTTCTCATCGTAAACTAATCCAATATTATTATATGTGGTTGCTAAAGATGGATGATCTGATGATAATGAGTTCAATTCAATTTCAAGTGTCTTTTCATAATACTCTAATGCTTTATCGTATTCACCTTTCTCATAGTAAACTAATCCAATATTATTATATGTAGTTGCTAAAGATGGATGATCTGGTGGTAATGACTTCAGTTCGATTTCAAGCGCCTTTACACAATACTCTAATGTTTTATCGCATTCGCCTTTCTCATCGTAAACCAATCCAATATTATTATATGTAGTTGCTAAAGATGGATGATCTGATGATAATGAGTTCAATTCAATTTCAAGTGTCTTTTCATAATACTCTAATGCTTTATCGTATTCACCTTTCTCATAGTAAACTAATCCAATATTATTATATGTGGTTGCTAAAGATGGATGATCTGATGTCTTCAGTTCAATTTCAAGTGTCTTTTCATAATACTCTAAGGCTTTATTGTATTCACCATTTGCTTTTACAGCTGATCCAATATTATTATATGTAGTTGCTAATAATGGATGTTTTGGTGGTAATGACTTTAAGTTAATGTGGAGTGCCTTTTTATAATACTCTAATGCTTTAGTGTATTCGCCTTTCTGATCGTAAACCAATCCAATATTATTATATGTAGTTGCTAAAGATGAATGCTTTGGTGGTAATGACTTTAGTTCAATTTCAAGAGCCTTTTCATAATATTCTAATGCTTTATTGTATTCACCTTTCGCATCGTAAACTAATCCAATATTATTATATGTAGTTGCTAAAGATGGATGATCTGGTGGTAATGACTTCAGTTCGATTTCAAGCGCCTTTTCACAATACTCTAATGTTTTATTGTATTCACCTTTCTCATCGTGAACAGATCCAATATTATTATATGTAGTTGCTAATAATGGATGATCGGATGGTAATGACGTTAAGTTAATTTCGAGTGCCTTCTCATAATACTCTAATGCTTTATCGCATTCGCCTTTCTCATCGTAAACCAATCCAATATTATTATATGTAGTTGCTAAAGATGAATGATCTGATGATAATGAGTTCAAGTCAATTTCAAGTGTCTTTTCATAATACTCTAATGCTTTACTGTATTCGCCTTTCTCATCGTAAACCAATCCAATATCATTATATGTAGCTGCTAAAGATAGATGTTTTGGTGGTAATGACTTTAGTTTAATTTCAAGTGCCTTCTCATAATACTCTAATGCTTTGGTGTATTCACCTTTCTCAGCGTAAACTAATCCAATATTATTATATGTAGTTGCTAATAATGGATGATCGGATGGTAATGACTTCAAGTTAATATCCAGTGTCTTTTCATAACACTCTAATGCTTTATTGTATTCACCTTTCTCATCGTAAACCAATCCAATATTATTATATGTAGTTGCTAAAGATGAATGATCTGATGGTAATGAGTTCAAGTCAATTTCAAGTGTCTTTTCATAATATTCTAATGCTTTATTGTATTCACCTTTCTCAAGATAAACTAATCCGATGTTATGGTAGCTTTCTGGATGTGCGATTTGATTGGTCTGAATTAGTGCTGTGAAATACTGTTGAGCGTGGTCGTATTGTCCCATGTATATCATGAGTCTGCCTAGGGCATCTAGGTTAAGCATTTCGCCGAATTCTATTCGAAAATGTTGTCTTAATTGCTTCAACTGTTCATCTTCGTCTCTAGTCATGGTCAGGCTTACCTTCCAGACGTTGTTGGTCAAGTTATTAATTGATTCGATTGGAAATACACTTCCTATAGAGAAAAGGACTTCTTCTTCGTCGTTGTACATGCTTATTTCCTTTATGTTACAAAAAGGTTTTGTGTGTGGGTGATTGTCAGCATTTATTTCGAAAAGAACAGATTGCATATCGAATGTCTTGGGAACGAACATGAGTGCGACGTTTGGATCGGTACTTGTTGATAGAAAGTTGTTAAACGATAAGAGCCCTCCAAGATTATTCTTTAGTTTTTCAAGCTCATCTACATGTATGCCTTGGCCGCGATACACTATCAATTTTCTTTGTTCATTGTCCTTATTTTTGGTTGGTAATGATTGAATAAACTGTGAATGTAATTCTTTTATTTGATTATGAAGATCAGCTAAGAAGAAACGATATTTAAATAGAATATCAATGTCTTGAGTCCGAAGTGCTTTATCAAATTCATCGATATGTTTTAAAGCTATTTCATTACCATTATATTGTAATCGACATTGATTAATCATATTTGTTTTTGCATCATCTTTATCGTCCATTCCAATTAAGATTTCTGCTAACAATTGAAAGTACATGAATGAAGCTTCTTGTTCATTTATTTCGTTTTCTTTTATGTTTGAAGAAATAATATGCACGGATAAGAATTGATGTGAACTTGTAACAACATCTTTACTTAATTGCTCAAAAATATCATTCATAAATAAGCGATCTGTTGTTGTTTGTGCAGTGGATTTGGAGTTTGGTGGATTTGAATCCATTGTTGTACTTATTGAGTATGTGACTTATGTCTAATAAGTTCTAAGAAAAGTAAAACGCATAGCTAGTTAAGGAATTTTGTATATTTTTCTATTTTCTCTACGAGAATTCATTTAAATGTTGTTGTGAAAGAGCAATAAGATTTGTTAGGCTGATGTCACTTAAGTGACGTTAGCAGCAGATTCGAGTATTTTGGCCTTATATTCGTTTCTATAGCTGAATTCTGGACTTGATTGTGCCAGATAGAATTCGACGAGCTCTATTCAACCGTATATCTCTCCTTAAAATCTGATAGGCCAAAAATGTTTTCAAGCTAGTTTATGAATTTTTCCAATGGACATTAAATGGAAAATTTAGTATTTCGGCCGAATATTCACCCACATAGCTGTGGTAATTCCGAAAAACAAGTGTACCCAATGTAACTCGTCGAGATCTATGCAACAGTATCTGTTACACTAAGACCTGATCGGGCAAAAGCTTTCTAGAGAGGATTTACTAACTTTTCGAGCAAAAAATTGAAGCTATTTTGACTTAATATTCGTCTTTACAGCTATGTCTGGAAATAAGTGTTCCAGATTGAACTAGACGAGCTCTTACCAACGGCATGGTATAATAATGAATATATGATTGTAAACAAGACACTGAGACTGGTTTTATTTTTGTACTCATTATTTATATAATTTTAATAACCCCAAATCAGAAGCAGTTTTTGTTTTTTATTACTTAGAGAGAGTAAAAGAAAAACAACCTTGAAAAATATGTTTAAGAAAGTGTGCCATTCGAAAGGTAAAACGTTACAGAAAAAAGCTGGAACAAGAAAATTTCGAAAAATTAATCTCTTTTTTCATTCTTTTCAATGCCGTATTTATACTTCTCTCGCAGCCAAACGAAAGGATGAATTCTCCAGCTTAAACTCTTGAAAGATTTGTATAACTCATCGGCGCAGAAATGATCGAATATGTCATGCAACAGCTCGACAGTCAAATGTTCAAATACAGACCTGCGTTACAACACCACTCACGTTCATCCTCATTTCCAAGACTTTGGATTTTTGCTTTTAGTCAGAGCTGGGCAAGTCATGGGATTTCCAAGTCACAGGTCAAGTCGAGTCCAGTCATAAGTCGTAAAGTTTTCTCATAGGTCAAGTCAAGTCAAATTACATGACTTGAAATTTTTTTTCACAGAAAAATCCCCAAAATTGGATAGACTTCCTTCCTTTCTCTATTCTAAGGCACGACTGATGGAATCTTGACTACTCGCCTACTGTGTTGATAAAAAATGGATTTTTCTGCGACTTTGTCATCATAATTGCCTTTTGAGAATGTCCATAATCACTTGTAAAGTCGTAGTTTTTCGGTGGAAGAGCAATTTTATCTAATACTGGATTAAAATTCCCGACCTAATCATGTATTTTACCCTAAAATTCACCATAAAAATCCGATTTTCGTAGTTGATGGCTTGACTTGATTTTTCAGACCAAGCCACAAGTTAAGCCAAGTCTTTTCAAAAAATCTCCAGGTCAAGTCGAGCCGTGGGTCATAAAAAAATTTACCAGGTCAAGTCAGATCAAATGACTTGACATGCCCAGCTCTGCTTTTTGTCAAAAGATAAGTCTTTTCAGTAGGGTCTGATTTGTGAATATCTGCAATTTACATAATATATCTAGATGTTCAGATATTCTGATATTCAAGCTAGATATTTAGATATTCAGATGCTCCAGAAATGTGGAAAAGGGAAGGTGGGGCTGGCAGGTGCAGATGAGAGTGAGGCACTCCCCAATATTCGCCACCCTCAAAGAAAAGAGGAAGATATCTGAACATCTGGATATTATGTAAATTGCAGATGTTCACAAATCAGACCGGTCTCAAAATTTTCAGTAGCACATTGCAAAAAATTGAAAATAAAGGAATTGTGCGTTTGTTATTCATCTTTTATAGATTAACATTCGTAATCTAACCTCTATCTAAATAATAGTTTTTGTTGGCGTTATTTTTTTCGAAAATTTAATAACGCTATATTCAGTCTACTTGAAATACTGGCACATCAGATAAGTATAGCTGAAGCAAATTCACACTACGCCAGGCAAAAATTTTCTATGTGAAACTACTTTCCGAACTCACCCGTGTGAAAATTTTTCAGCGCATTTCTGCGTTAAACAGTAAAATAACGCAGAACAGAGTAACTTGCGTACAAAATTTTGCAAAAAAGGTCAACTAATACAGAATTTTGTCGATAATCTTTTTGTCATTTTTTGCAAAATTTTCTTTTTACAAAAATATGACATTTGTATTGTGGATTCTGAAAAAATGACAAAAAGATTATCGACAAAATTCTGTATTAGTTGACCTTTTTGCAAAATTTTGTAAATATTTGTTATCAATACAGTACACTTGTATCACTACCAGATTTTTCGGTTCCGCCTCTATCTTCACTTTCAGCAGTCTATCTCCGTGTTCTTGTTCCACACTTGTTACTCGTTTGGCAGTTTCTGAATCCAAGACGATTGCAACTCCACGCTGACCTCTTCCTCCACCGACGTTGATAAATCGATAGCCGTCGAAATAGCAATCTCCACTATCAGATCGGCACTTTTCTTCCACCTCACCTCACTTAGACCGAGAATGCTCAAACTACACCTCTTCATCTCCTTCACCACATTCGCCATCTTTTCCTTCATCACTTTCTCATCGGACCCCATTGTCCTCACGTTCCATGTCCCTATTCGAAACATATTCTTTTCTCCACGTGGATTTCGTTTGATGACGACCTTGGTTGCCACGTCCACACCACTGCCGAACGCGGCATCCACCTCCTGGATCCCGTTTACGTTGTTTAGATTTCTTCCTTTTCTTTGTGCTTTCATTGTGCCTTTTTGTTCTTGGGAAGATAGTCAGAGTAGTTTCCCGTTGTTTTCTCCGACCGCAGTAAGGAGAGATCGTATCGGTTGCACCGAATTCACATCTCTCCCTCGTCTTGCAAGCCATCACGCAAAACCATATTGCCTCCACATGCGCCATTGCAAGCCATCAAGCACTCTGCTGCAGTACTCTATATCCTGTAACCCTAGGAGAGGGATCCACACAGGCGACACCACTCCGGGTCAGAGCGGACCTGGAACAGTTTAACGTCATGTTCACTTTATTGTTTAGTATTATTCTACTTCTGAATAAATATAAAGAGATTAGTTCGGCATTTATTTCAAGCGTATAGGGACGCCCTGATAATAGGATCCGCACCGTTGAACAAGTCACCCACTTGTCATGGCTTTGCAGAAAGTATTTCTAATGTCAAGCTGTCCTGGGACACTATTTTTACTACCATATATATATGAACTTGTAGTGCGAGAAATTGTCTATCGAATGGTAGATCTATCGTAGTGGTTGATTGATAAAGCGTGTCATAGATTATCTTAAACTTTTTGCACATAGAAGATTATTTTCGATAGACGGAAGTATTTCTAAACGTACTTGGTCTCAGAACGACTATTTCCGTATATGTGATATACAGAAATACAGCGCAGAAAATGAGCTTTCGAATGACATATAATTGTTCTACTAAGGTATGAAGCCGAGAGAGACACACTCGAAAATATGAGCGATAATACGTATCAGAAGTGGCTACAGTTAACTGGACCCAATGTTTTCTAAGAGCATTCCTATGGTCTGACTTAAGCATATACATGCTTCACCAAAATCTGATTCACCCACCGAAGGACTCACAATTATTCGTTACAGATACCCAAAGCATCTTTTCTGCGAAATTAGCTTTATTTCCTGAGTTTTCAAAATTAAAACTGAAATTACATCCCATATCTCGAAAAGTCGAACAACAAGGTTTTTCGGTTATTGATAATAACAATAAGGTAGATACAATGACTTTGAAACAATAGTTAAATTCGTCTTCACTAAGTGATAACGAAGAACTGTGGTATTATGGATCTCAGTTTGCAAAGGACGGAGTTCCAACTGATAATGGCTTCGGTAAACATGGAACCGAAAATATGAAGGAGATTAATAAATTCAATAAAAAAGTTGCTTGTTACTAATTTGTATGGATACGAATTGAGTATATTTGTATTTCAAAATCGAGCACATAGCGGAAGAAATAGTCGCACTGACATCTGCATATTTTATACACCGTATGTATAGTTGATGAACTACAATCAGTTGATAGTCCTATATGCACAAGCATAAGAATCGGGTTCAAGTTAAATATGGTTATTCTGAACGGTATCGAGGGAGACAAACAGGAATAGCAATCATTATTATATCTAATTCAAAATCTTATCCCATTAGTTAACGATAAACATCGAACGTGACACATATAAGTACCCTTAGAAATAATATACTAGAATGATACTAAAACTTGTCACCTAACATCGACCATTTTACAGATAGTCCTCTATTCTGAAAGAGACATAGTAGTTCAAATAAAGATAACAATGCTGGTCATGTATAATCACTGACCAATTGGCAAGATCCTCGAAAATTTTAGATCAATTAATAATCATTTCTGCGTGCAAACAAAAATATCGCGAATAAAGATCATTGTGTCGTCAATCATTTTCTTCTTCAGGCTGTTAAGTACATGCAGGACAACAACTAGATTGATCAGTGCTACCGTTTGTTATATATGGACAATCTAGGACGAGAAAGACTTTTGCTCAAGAAACTTTCGCATGCATCTGAATAAAAATGAATGAAAAGTTACCGTTTGAACACATGAACCATATGTGTCCGTTTGTTCTATCATCAATTTGAACCTATTCATCATTTATTGTACCAAGTCGAGATAAATTCAACATATCTTTTATTCGTTTAGATAACATTTCAAATTTTTCGACAATTTTTTATTATAAACGGACGATATTTTAGTGTTAATATTTTTAATTCATTTGTTAGTGTACTTGCTGCACTACTATTACCTAACTGTATTTGTTTAATTTCTGCTTCATCCATTAACGAAAGCAGATGAATATAACGCTTTATCCGATATAATTCATGTGTAATATAGTTTAATTTTTGTTTAGAATAACAATAATTTTGATTATTTACATAAATAATAAAACGTTGTAAACAATCGTTTATTTGTTGATATCCATCATCCTCTGCTGAAAATTGTTGTTTAATATTTAACAATAAACGGTTACTTTCTTTTATAAGCACAAACGTATTTTTAATGTAATTTAATTTATCCATGGGTATTTTACTTTGACTTAACAATAATGATAACTCACCCTCACCTTTCGAGACACACTAAGATTCTAATTTCCCGATATCCTTTTTTCTCCCCTTTGTTCACCAGTTATTATCTGTCTTTTTATTATTATTCTCGTTGTTGTCATTACTTTCTCTCTTTTATGTTGGCGTCGTGTATCGTTTCTATATATGTATTCTTATACTGTCCTCTGTCAATTTATGTTAAGATATAACGGGTTCACCTCCTTCTACTTATAATTTGTACTGATATTTTCAACATTTCTTCTATTAAATAAAGTTTATAACAATAATGATAACAGGTTTTGGAATAATGTAGTACAATCATTAGATTTTATATACGAAGAAAGTTTACTGGTTAAACTCTTTCGATGTTGTTCTGTTGTTGGTTGATGCTACGCTTTGTTGATTTAATATCTTTCTCAATCCATGATTGAATTTTATTTAAAATTGAATTGTATCTTGTACAATGACGTATGGGACTTTTGCATTTTGGACATTCAGGCAAACGAATGGAATTATTATATTTTTGTTTTTCGATAAAACGTTTTATATAATGACTCAGGGCACTTACTTCGATAACACGAGAACACTTGAATAATTGAACAAATGTGCATTTTTCGCTTTATTTTCATTCCAATAAAATACCCCATGAATTCGATAAACAGTTTCTTAATAAGGAAAACAGGTTTTTGAACATAGTCTTTTACATATTGAATGGTGTGACAGCGGTTTTCACATGATACGGTGCACGTCAAATAATTCTTACGACAAAAATCAATAGAAACCTGTGGAATATGATAGATAGAGAAAACTAAAGTTGGAGAAGCATCGGTTACTTACATGACCACAAATCAATGTTTTTTCGCACACTTCTTGACATTTTCGTCGACATTTTATGACCGCATGACAAGGTTCGTTACACTTCACCAAATTATATATTCCTGTTTGTCGAATTGGACAGCGACCATCAGTAGAATGACAGCATGATAATTGAAACTAAAAGCAGTTTTTTTGCAATCATAAATTCTTCGTATTCTTGAACATTCACGTTTAATTTCATATTGACATTCTGTTATTGTTTTATCAACAATAACTTTACATCGGCCATGTTCTGCAGGATACAATGGATGACACTTATCGACACATTTGTGATTACATGTTATCAATGGGGCATCACACGTATTTGGACATCGAATTGTCTGACGATTGACGTCATAATTATGGTATGATAAAACACACTGATGACCAAATAATAGAAGACTTTCACAATGTTTCTGACAACCATCTGAAAGTAGTTAGCAACATTAATTTTCATTCTTTGTTTCAATTATATATGATCGTATCTACCATTTGGACGTTTTAAAAATTATAGCATACTGGCAACAAATGGTTATTTTTGGAACCACAAGTACAACAAAGATTTAGATCTTGAGATAAAAATATCAATAGCATAATAATTAGGCAACTTGTCTTTTCCAACTGCTTTCAGAATAGTTATTTGTTCTGAATTGTAACGTTGTTTTAGTAAAAAGTGAGTTACTTCATCAATATATTGTGCTTCATAATAGTTATTTTTTGAACTAGTATCTGTTATCTCTTTATTTTATGTGGATGTGCAACAAAATAAACATTTTCACGAATACTATTTCAATGTTTAAACTCGACTTGTTTATCACCGAAATTGTTTCGATGATGTTCTATGTATATATTCTCAACTGTGTTGAGAGAAAAGTTACAGAAAGGCAGAGGCCATGAGCACTGTCCGCGTAGTAAGTGCCAGCTCAAGTTTCCAAGGCTTGAGCTTTTCTGTAACGAAAAAAGCAGTTGTAAAACAAAATTTATTGTATTCACAAATATCAATAATTGACCGATGCTCTGTATAAACACTTTCATTATTTTCTAAATCATCATAAAAGTGTTTCATTAATGAACATGTTTCTGATCACATTCGATGCTAAAGTGGAAATAGTTATCTCTATTTTTTATCTCTGTTAACGACTGATCAATCAATCATACATGTATATTCAATCTTACAGATGGAAAATTGTTGTTAACTAGACGTGCACATAGACATACGTCAATATTGTATGTTTTTGCCAAACGATACAGTGTTTATATTCAGAATTTAATGCTGATGACTGTATTTGTTATCGTTGCACCTTTAATAATATATTTGAAAAGGTGTTTCGTAATTCTTATTCATTTACATTACTTAAATGAACTAAACAAAATAATCTTAGATAAGTCAAGAAATTGTTTATTCGCAGATTAATGTTGAAAAAAGAATAAAGCAATTCAAGCATATTGAAATATTCAAACACATGAAAACATAATTCGACTGATAATGAATTTATTGTTGTTGTTGTTCTATTTGTGTTGCAAATTGCTTCTTCAAAAAAAGAAAAGAAACGTAATATTCTGTACACACGAAAACAATCAAGTCGTCTTCCCTTTATGGGTAGAAAAAGGAACGGACTTGACCTGAATATTTTTTTGGATACCCGTTCACCTGAAAGCGCTTTTTACCAAAACCTATGTGCTCTTGATAAATCGATGTGTAGTTTCAATAACTGAGAGGAAACCCACCGGACGTCCCTTATTTATGATTGCTAACTTTATTACTTTCAAAGAGGTTGTTATAGGATCAAATCCAAGCAAGTTTTGTTTTATTCCATCTTAAAGCTAAAAGTCAATTTATGAGATTATTAGAGATAGTAGTATTACTACTGCTGAAGGAATAATGTCTGGTGATAAAATGCAGATCGCCATAATAAGCGACCGTTATCCTGTGTACCAGGATGTAACGTGTGCTCAACAAGTAGTAAATGTATTCGAACATTCTGACGATCATCAGACAAAGAACTAATATTGTTTAATAATCCGAGACTGCTCGACAGCTTATGTTTTACCGTTGAAACAGCGATCAAAGTAATCATACATAAACAATGTATGTCACATGTGGATACTTCGGCACAGGTCCGCCCACTTTATAAACGACTTGAAGCCGGGAAGGTTTGCCTGTATGCAATCGATAGCCCTACTAAAGGTGTGTAGAACTCCCTGTCGCCCCATGGAAAAATTATTCCGAACACGGGTTTTCCTCAGTCATAACTTCTGAATTGAAGCGTTTTTAGGGGTGCCAGAACAGCGAAATCTGATCTTATATAATACTATCAGGCGTTCTCATACTGCTGATCGGAAAGAGCATACAAAGTTGCATATTTCTATCCGCAAACAAGATTTTCCCTTCTGACATTTCGAAAGAATTTTTGACCGGAGGACGTGACCTGCATTAGCAGATATCACTTGTTTTACAGCGTGTTGGACGAGCTCAAAATCTAACAAAACATAACTTTATTTATATTAAAATGAAAGCGGCTTCCAAGTTCGTTCGTAGGATGCAACAATGAAGGCTCTAGCTCTTTCTGCTTCTTCATGGTAAGCGTAGCCATGAGACCTACTTTGGCCCTTCCCGGCCTCCTCTGTCGAAAACGACACGTCATTTCTTTGAGATCTTGTTACCCCACACACTAAGCGACTAGTGCTACACAAGGCGCAGGGTATTGGCTTTGGCCAGGTGTTTTTTCAAGTGGCGGTTTTCTAGAAATCCAGTCAAAAACCTCAGTTGCTTCTAAATGTTGAATCCAAACTAACCTGAAATTCAGATTCAGTATGTTCTTTTATGGGTAATTTAGTATTTTTTTCCAGTTTTGCCAGATGACAGGATTTTGACGGAATTTCTAGAAAACCGCCACATGAAAAAACATCTGGCCAAAGCCAATACCTTGCGCCTTTTGCAGCAGTAGTCGCGTAGTGTGTGGGATAACAAGATCTCGAAGAAATGACGTGTCGTTTTCGACAGATAAAATAATAACAAATAAAATAAATAAATCCCTCACCAAGAAACTATTCTATAAATGCAACAATTAAATCACTACTAAATGAACTAATGGTTGAGTCGCAGTCGATCGATCTTTGAACAATACTATCAACAGTGCCATCCAAAATCTTGTACATTTCATACAGCAAGAAAGGATTTCGTTTCAATAGTCATAATTATTATTGGCTTCATGAGACGTCTAACGTAAGTGCAGTACTGAGACTAATTGTGTCAATTGTGGTCAAATATTTTCGCAAAAACAAACTTGTTACAGTTGATGCAGATAAGACGGAGAGTGTTAAGAAAGATCTTCGGCGAAAAACAGTTTAAACGTGGAAACTAAACTCACAATAGATAGCTCATAGGCTGCAGCAACAAACATTGCCACGAGACTCAACATAATGGACAATATATGTTTTCCTGCATTTCTAAAGGTCCCAAATCGCAGAACAGCGAAGACGCAAGACTTCGGAAGAATGTCCAAAGCTCCTCAACCAAGCAAAATGAAACTTTCGCTTGGATCTTATTTTATAGGGGATACTCTGGAAGTATATCTGTTTATGGGAAAAGATCGATCGATTGCTATGTAAAACTTTTGACCTAGGAACTGGTTTTTCAGAGACCCTCTAAAAAAAAACAATTTTGAAAATTTTTTGAAATTAATTCTGCTTATTAGGTTAAACTATCTTCTTTCGACTGCCAGAAACCACAAGTCTCTATCTTTTATCTCGAAAAACCGTATTCACTGACCGACTCCATGAGCCGTTATCCTCAAATAAAAACAGAAAGCTATATTTTCCTGAACCATTGATACTCTGTGAAAAGAACAGAAACGAAAGTGAGCAAAGAACTCGCAGTCACAAACGACTGTAACTGGCATCTCTATTAGCGAGAAAACGATCTGTTTTGACACGAAGGTCATATGCCGAAGTAATGCGTGTTACTCATAACATTCATGTTATTATAGGCGACATGTTCATCTGTTCTTCATTGCTAGCTCGTATTCGAATTGAATAATATTTTTTATACTATTGATTCACTTTTTTCTGCGTTCTTCTTATCTTTACAAGCATACTTCAGCAGAGCAGGAACAAAAAAATGTGACCAAATACTAATAATCCTTTATCAGAGAAAAGAAAAAATATTATTCACTCCAGAATAAGAGCGAGCCGCTTTGTTCGTGCTGACGCTATTGTATGTCAATATACTTAGAAAGATTGATGAATAAATTGAGACTCTCTGCAAAATATGTGAGTAAGAATTGCAGTACAGGACAAGCGTTTTTAGAGCGACTCTTCGTATTTCTCGATAACTAACAATAAGTGTTTTGTTAGCGGCGATATTAGAAAATTAGGTACTTTTGCCGCACTGCACCAAATTAGATAAAAATTGGGCGCTAGGCGCAAAATTTTTCGGTAAATCAGCGGGTTCGTTTCAATTCTATTTTGACTTCTTTTCTGGCATCGACATAATCTACGTGGTTTTTGCATAAATTTTATTTTTCTCATTGGTTGAAAAAAAGGCGCCAATGAGAAAAATAAAATTTAGGCAAAAACCACGTAGAATATGTCGATGCCAGAAAAGAAGTCAAAATAGAATTAAAACGAACCCGCTGATTTACCGAAAAATTTTGCGCCTAGCGCCCAATTTTTATCTAATTTGGTGCAGCGCGGCAAAAGTACCTAATTTTCTAATGAAGGTAGAGACGTTTTAAAAATGCTTGTAGAAAACAGTAAAAGTAAAAACATGTGTGTGGTTCGTACTTTGCAAGTAGAAACAGCGACGTGAGCTCATGTATGACTCTAGCGTTGCTGTCCAATAAACTTTTTTTTCTTTCTTGTCTTTCAATCACATCGCTCATATGGAGAAAGAAAACAATTTTTTTTATAACATTGAACGACATACAGAGTAGCTTAAGATGTGCTGATGAACGCAATCAAATTGGATTTTTTTTAATAGAAAAACTCATGTTTTTTATGATAAAGACTAGTTCGTTTTACCTGTTGCTCAGAAGTGCAGGAAAGATATGGAATATTTATTCTCATTATAGACTTCCTTTTATAACGCAAGATTCGCGTTTACCATTCTGATTACATTAAGATCGCAAGACCAAAAACCACCTCTGATCAAATTTAGTTCCACTATGACAGAAAAGAATAGCAAAATTATTTCTTTTTTCTATTTTTTGAGTGTCGGAGGACTGTTTACATGCATTTTATTTCCATTCGTCATCTACATTTGCAGCACACTTGTTTCTTGCACAGTTCTCTTTCCGAGATTATCAACTTTCCGTATTCTACCAAATATGGTATTTGGAAGATATGTCAACATACTTTTTCATTGAACTATAATAATGAAAATCCCATTAGAGGCCCACAGCAATACTTAACTCCTCCTTGAATAACCAATGGTACTGGGATATGATTAGAATATGCACATATCGATGTACGCTATTTCTCAATTGAATATATATAAACTAAGCAACATACACTTGCACTTGCTGATCGAATTATCTCTATCTATTAGTTTGTTCTTATGCTCGTTAAAAAACAGAAGTACTGCTTTCTCTAGATTTCATCTATTAAGTATGCCAAAAGTCAGAAGAAAACTATCAAGAATCCAATCAATTCGTGTTAATGCACATACGAAGAACAATGCATATAAATGTTTGCGCCACGGACCTCCTTAAAATCAACTGATCAAACTCCAGATGTTGTCAAAACCAAGAAACATCGAAAACGAAAGATATCTTCTGGTGACACTGTTCGGAACAAAAAGTCCGAAATAAAATCACCTTATAAGTATAACGGAGAAGGTATTCAAGTCGTTTGGCTGGATGTAAAAAATAGTGATTATTTGAATCGCAGAGCTCGTTTACGTTTGATCGCAAATTATTTAAAATTGTTCGATAATGGCGATTCCTGTATTGACTATCTTTTATCATTGGAAAACAGTAATAAACAAAAATTAATTCTCGTACTATCCGGTAGACGCATATTGTCCAAATATTTGGTGTAACAAATGCCCTTCGACTCTATATCAAAGGAAAACTGCGTAGTTCCGGCTCGACCACAGCAGATTCTGTTCCTAACCAAATAATGTACGTCACTATCGCAAACCAACGACCGGGAGGGGCTAGCTGTGTGTCGGGATCCATCGACCCTGGTACGTATGCAGGTGCCATCGATGAGCTACGTATTTACAATCGCGAAATAACCGCAACTGAGATCTGTATGTTGTCTTCATAAACTGATTGCAAGTCCTCTTCAAAGACTTTATCACTGTCCTCAATGCTTTACATATGATAAGATGATATAACAACTTTATTGAAAAATAAATGTTGTCTGTCTATAACCATTCTGCTCTATATTCATACAATGCAAGCATGTTCGTAAGGTCTTTTTTGCGATACGAGAAGCGAATTGCTGTGATATAATTAATCGTTGACTATATGATGCGCAATAAATAGAACATATCATGTCGAGAGAACTGATCAGAATAGATCAATGAAAATGCATTTGAATATTTTGTAAAAATGAAATA